TGGTAGTTAAGTGTTTTGGAACCTTCAGAAGCTGTCTGCGGTAGTTTGGTGACCATTTGAGATCACCCTATTAGGGCTCTAGTTATGGTGTAGCTCATGCATGTTAGAGTGCAGTAATCCAAACCGAACCTTTATCATGTTCCCTTTTTCCTTTGTTTGGTTGGGGTGAAACTTTGAGACGGACATCGGGATATCAAATGACGCTCTCACACACCTTTTGAGGCCGAGATGATACCATTTCAATAGCTCTTCAAAATTAGGTTTATTTCTACACGGGCTTCCGTAGTCCATAGGAATTTTAGTACCTACAGGTCTGGGTTGCAATCATCTCTATTTTCATACGCAATGGGACAAATTGTGTCAAAAATACCCTACAAATAACGTACGGCAGACGTGCATGTGTGTGTGCAAGGTCGCTTGATGGCACACTTTGCATTTCACACTCCTCATCATAACATGATCAGCCCCTCGCCCAATCACGTGTACTATTGTACATGTGAACATCATATGAACAATGACCTTAATAGCCACTATTCTCTCCATTTCTTACTCTATTTTGCACCACCTAGTTTAATAATGCAAAATTCTCTTAATAACTTTCTCTCTCTAAAATACAACATTTTCTTAATAACTTTCTCTCTCTAAAATACAAAACATGCAACACTCTCTCTACATTCAGGCACTCTAGTGTTTAGTAGACTTGCCTATTTTGTGCAAAATTAGGCGAGTTTCTTCATTGACGTTCTATTTCTAGATATCCTGAGGATTGATTTGCCAGTGTTACCTTTCGTAAATTGTTATTTTACAGTAAATAACTCCCAACATACAACTCCTTTAACAATTTGCCAAATCCATCCCCCAATTTTGGTAAAGCCAGAAATACTAACTGAGAAATGATACCCAAGACACTTTGAGGAAGAGACGTACTGAAGCCTAGCATCCCAAAGAAGTAATACCATATGTACGTTGCATATTGACAATGAAGAAGCAAGTGCGAAATCGACTCCCCATCCTCTTTACACATCAAGCAAACATTTGACAAGATATTTCCTCTTTTAATGAGATTATCAACAGTAGGAACCTTATTTTGTCCAACCAACCAAATAAAACATTGGACCTTATGAGGAATGGATCAGTTCTAGATTTGGGAAATTTGAGGCAACGACCATCTGTGACGATCATGGAACAAAAGAGAATACATGGCTTTAACCGAAAAAAGATCATCCTTACTGTGCTCCCAAATCACCTCATCATTAGTATTATTGGACAGTACCACCTCCTGTAACTATAAAAACAAGCTCGAAACCTGCGCAACAAACTAATCATTAACTCGATTATAAGGAAATTGGATATCCCATACCACTTGCTCTCCAACAACCTGATAGATTTCACATATCAGAGCATCTGGGGAAGAGGCCTTTGCGAGCAATTCAGGGAAGGAACTCTTCAAAGCGCAATCCCCTAACCACTTATGGTGTCAAAACGAGACTTGAATGTCATTGCCCACACACCACGTAATTTCTCTATGGAGATAAGCTGTGAACAGAAAAATATCTTTCCAAAATACAGATCTAGATGCACTTCTTCTACCACATCCAATCCACACTCCAAACCTATCAACACCGTATTTAGCAGTTAGAATCTTACACTAGAGTTGATCCTTAAACAACAAACTACGCCACCACCATTTTGTCAGCAAGGCCTCATTCATCAATGCCACTCTTCGAATACCAAGACCTCATTCACATTTAGGAGGGTAAATTACAGTCTTGAGAGACAACATAGTGTGGCTATAAACATGAAAGTCTAATTTTTTTACTTGTTATTTTCATCATTTTTCTCATTACATATTCCCGCCCCGTTTCACCCACCTTTATATTTCCAACAATCAAGACAGTAATTTCAGGTGAAGCTATAGAAGCAAGAATGAATTCCATCAAATTGATGAACCAAGATTTTTCATGACTCGATTCATTTAATGGGACGAATTTCAAAAGGTAGCAACAAAAGCTTATATTTTTTGTTGACCACATATAAGGTGGTATGTGTAATTGCCAAAAATACATTGGAATTGTCATCACCAAAGGAATTGTCGTCACCAAATGAAGAGGATGACCCCAAATTATCTAAATATCGAAAAAAATAGATGGAGGATAATTATATATGTAATGTAAATCTATGAACCTTCTCCCACTTCGATTCATGGAAACAAGATTTCTGGCCGGAGTTATAACATTCTCACCAGAAAATGGCACCTGTTCTAAGGGAATAGCCAGAGCGGATTACAGAAGATTGATTAGGTTGAAAGTGTTCACGCCATCCCCTTCTTTCATATCTCAGAGTTCAGCCTGATCATATATTCTCAACACATTTACTGATCTGACCTATGACATGTATTGCTCGGTGGCATCTGCAATGGAACTTTGACATCTATTGGAGACCAAGCATTTAACAAAAGAATCAGGTAACCAACATTTTTTAATTTCTAATTATTTGGACTTAATTTCACCAACAACAAGCCAATACTCGACCAATTGTATGAGCTGCAACGTCTTGTTAAGTGAACTCAAAGCTTATGGTATTGAATTTCATGAAGCATTTCAAGTAGGGACTTTTTATACATAAGTTACACTTTTGGAAAGAATACCAAAAGAAGACGAAGCACAAAAAGGTTGATGTTGACTTAGTTTAACTTCAACAATCTCTACGCATAGAGGAAGAGAGTAGGATTTCGAAAAAGGAGGAGGAAGTATAAGGAATGTAAGGTTAGATTGGTAGCCAGAGGTGTTAAACAAAAACATGGCATAAACTATTTTGACGCAAAGGATATCTACTATGAGATTTCTTTTAGCAATGGCCTCAAATTATCCAGTCATTCACCTAATAGATGTAAAAGCTGCATTCTTATACAGTGACCTAGATGAAGAAATTTACATAGAACAAAATGAAGGACATGCCTGGTCATGAAAACAAGGTTTCTAAATTGATAAAATCTCTTTATAGACTGAAACAGGCGCCAAAGCAATGCCATAAGAAGTTTGATATTGTATTGATATCAAATGGTTATAACAGGATTGAGGTAGATAAATTTGTGTTCAGTAAAATAGTTTAACTCTATATGTGTTATCATATGCCAATATAGATAATATGTTAATTTTCGGCGATAATTTGAAAATCGTAGAGGAAACTAAAGGTTTCCTCGTATTTAATTTTGAGCTGAATGACTTGGGAAATATTGATGTGATACTAGGTATCAAAATAGTGAGAAAAGAAAAAGAGCTAATATTGACTCAATCTCACTACATAAAGAAAATGCTCCTAAAAATTTGAGCATATTGATACTAGGCCAGTCTTTCACCAATAGATCCTCATAAAAAGTACAAGAAAAATGAAAGGAAATGTATATCTCAAATAGAGTATGATAGAGTGATTGGTAGTTTAATGTATGCAATGACCAGAAGCCTGACACTGCATATGAGGTCTGACACTATATATACAGTAAGCAAACTTAGTAAGCATACAAGTTGCCCTAGTAAAAAGCATTGGGATGCAATTTCTTGAGTTTTGAGATATTTGAAAGGAACTATTAACTATGACATACATCATATGGGTGATCCCAAGATATTGGAAGGATACAGTGATGCAAATTGAAACATAGAATTTCCAGATTCACTATCAACATCTGGATGGATTTTCTACTTCCGTTGAGGGATATCTTAGTGGTCCACGAAGCAAACTTGTCTTTCACGTTATACAATGTAGTTTTATTGTATCACTTACAAGAACTTGTCTTTCACGTTATACAATGTAGTTGTATTGTATCACTTACAGATTTTGCTTGTGAAGAAGTATAATGGTTTAAGAATATTGTATATGGCTTTACCAATGTGGCCAAAACCGATACCAACAATCAGGATATTCCTACAATAATCCTACTACTAATGTGAGAGTATGTAAAGATGTATATGATAGTAAATTTAACTAATGTGAGAGTATGTAAAGATGTATATGATAGTAAATTTAACTAATGTGAGAGTATGTAAAGATGTATATGATAGTAAATCTAGACACATTGCGTAGCAGATATACCTCCATACAAAAATTAATAAAAGAATAGAGTGATAGTTTAGAATTTGTAAAGTCAAAAGTAAATTTGACAAGACCTTTCAAGGGATAACAATGGTAAAATGACAAGAAAAATGCAATTAGAGTCCATAAAGTAATCTACAGTGTGGTATCTTGTCTTGTAACCTCAAGATTCTACGTTCAAAATAATATATTTATAATTATTGTTTTTCCTCAGTTTTATAATTATTGTTTTTCCTCAGTTTTAAATATAAGTAATAGGGTTTGATAAGGGCAAAGTGTTAAAAGAATGATGCAAATATGGGAGCATCGTTTAAAGTAGTAAAGACTCCCACAACAAATCTTAAAGTCTTAATGATTCCAACACCAAATGCGTGAGTGTGAGCGCATATGCAGAATGCACGAAACACGAGGACCCACCCAAGCACGTGCACCCTTACCAGTTAAGTCTTTAAAGTGGACTTCTACTCCACTCTGAACCACGTACTTACTAATTTGAATTTCACTGATCTCTAAAAAAAATTACAAAAGCATATCACTTTTCTCTACATTTTGGCAATTCCGATGCTTCAGTGGACCTACATTTTTTTACAAAATTAGGTTAGTATCCTCCAAATACCCCGAAGACTGATTTCCCGGAATTACCTTTTGATTCACCTAACCACATTTTGGAACGAGAAGGCAAATTCCAGTCAAAGAGACCAAAACTTGACACATTTCCAACGCATAACACGTTATACCCAAAAATACACACATTTCCAACACATCACACATTTTCTTCTTTTTTTTTTTTCCCCTTCAACACCTTGGTTTCTTTTATAAACTCACATCCCTCCTTCAGAACATTCACAGAGAGATCAAAACAAGACACACAGGGAAGGAGAAGAAACGCAACATAACACAACACAACAAACTGGAAAATATGCATCACTCTATATTCAAAACCAAAACAGATGAACCCCTTTATCTTATACCTGAAAACCAAAATCACACATGCCCATTCAAGTCTCTACCCCTGAGAAAATCTACACTATTTACAACCTCAACAACCAACCTCCATCATGCACTGCGAAAGATAACAAACGTGCCATGTCAAACCCATTAGAGCCACCAGATTGAGAAGGGAGGAGTATCCATTGAGGCTCTTTAGCCTTTTGCTCATCTTCTCCAGCTTGGAAGTCATTGCAACATGTGGTGCACCCCCGCTAATGGTGGTGCCCGTGGTGCTTAAACCAGAAGCACCACTAGTGGTAGCGGTGGTGGTGGTGGTGTTCGTCATTTGCCTTTCATCAATGTCGGCTATGTCACGACCCCTACCTTCCTCTTTCTCCATCTTCAATCTTTCAAACATGACCTGCGGGGAAGATAAATTGATAGTTTGGAGCAAGACTAACCAAATCAATTAAAATTTCTTGGGGAAATAATAATGAGAACCGTTGCCAATTCTTTCTAGAAGGTAATGGGTATTTAAAAGAAATATTTTTCTTAAAACATGTTAAATTGTAGCATAAAATTTTTCAGAACAAGTTTGTGCTCTTATTGAACAAGATCACATAACAAATTCACAATGGATCAGAACGCAAGAAAATAAGAAATGATAACATGAGCTAGGAAGCATACAAATCCTTTGTTTTAAAGGCCTTCTCTTTTTAGTCAAATCATTCCAATTCTAATCTTTCTAAGCATTGCACATTTTCATTACTTGTGTACTTCAAAAATTCTCATTTTTCTCTACAAAATTTCCTAAAGAACGCAATTTTATTATTATAATAATAATATTTCTTTAAGAACACTTCTTAAAAAAAAAAAAAAAAAAAAAAAAAAAATACTAAAGGAAGAGAGAGTTACTGATATACCCTAAAATTTTTTCTAAAATAATGCTACGTTTGTAGGTGAAAATTACAAAAGAATTCTTTTATTTTTCAAAATTGCCCGTTCTGAGGATTCCATCCACCACCGAAATTTTAATTTTAATTTTAATTTTTTTCATTGGCAAGAAAACTAAAAGTAAAATTAAAACTGACGAAAAAATTTTAAAATAATTAAATTTCAGTCCAAACATCCTCAGACCAAGGGACAATTTTGGAAAAATAAAACACGGGTTGACCGGCCTTTGCAATTTACGCCAATAAACAGAGCATTTGGTATTTTAGAAAAAAAAATTAGGGTCCATACATAAATCACAAGAAGAAAAAGTCCATTAGCAAGAAAATCTTGCTATTTTTCACAATGACAAGCACCAACAACCGACCTTTGTTGCTTGGGGCTCCAAATAAAGCATGTTAACCAAGACAAGTCCAAGACAAGCAAGCAGATTATGGGACTGCAACTTCTCTGCAATGCTTGAATTTCGCCATGGATGCCTAAAGAAATGAGTGAGGAAACACAACCCAAGAGAATACATCATAGTCCTGAAATACACTGGATAGATCTTGCTCTGCACTAATGCAAACTGCTGCCTAGGCAGCGCCTGCGACAAAACATGGCTCAACACAAATGTAACCCATACACAGACACCATATGCAACACCGAAGGACAGCGTGTGAATCACCACCATATACGATACCAACGTCTCCGGAGAAATGGCATAAAGCCATGCATCTGGTATCACCTCCCAACCTCTGTGTATAATATCCGTCAAATTATGGCGAACATCTCTCTGACTCGTGTCGATGGTCTTCTTAGCCGTTCTCATGCCTCCCTTTATCTTGTTTCCACCTTTAGTAATGTTGTCAAACACATTTTCACCTGTTTTCTTGATCGACTCACTTGCCATTTTGCCTGCATTTTTCGCTTTTCCATTGACTTCCTCACCGGAATGGGCAATCTCTGTTTTCGCTTTTCCGATGAGTTCCTCGCCAGAATGGACTAACTTCTCAGCCCCATGCTTTGCGCTTTCTTCGGCGTCGGATAGCTTATCTGCAATTGCATCTTTCGTCTCAAAAACCTTGTCTGCAACTCTCTCACCACTCTCAGAGACTTTCTGAGCAACCTTATCCTTGGCTGCCCCAAAAATGTCTGAAATTCTATCTTTGCAAACACCGTAGGCATCACAAAGCTTGTCCTTGGCATTAGAAGCCCTTGGAGCGTTACTTTCAGCCGAGCTCGAGAGCCCTTGCCCCAAATTTGGAAGCACGCAGGCGGCATCACGATATTTCTCTTTCAATTTTTCTGCCACCCCTTTCTCCTTTCCCAACAATGCCGATTTTTCTCTGTCTACAACTCCCTCGCCTTAAAAATAAAAACAAAAAAAAAAATATTTTTGAATAGAAGATATCTATGAGATAGCTGAAAATATTTTGATATTTCCTAAAATATGAAATGCTCTATTTTTTTTAAATAAAGCACTACCCTAAAGCTGGGTACTTCCCTACTAATGAAGAAACTAAAAAAAAAAAATAAATAAACAGATGTTGACTGACGTTCTTTTTGTAATTTTTGAAACAAAAATAAATAAATAAATAAATAGATGTTGACCGACTTTCTTTTGTAATTTCTGATTATAAACAGAGCATTTTTTATTTAAAAAAATGACCGACTAAAGCTGGGCACTTCCACCCTCTGATGACCGACTAAAGCAGGGCATTTTTACAAAAAATACAGAATAAACATAACATTTTTTTTAAAAAAAATGCTCTGATTATAAACTGAGCATTTTTAAAAAAAATAAATAAACACATGTTGACCGACTAAAGCTGGGCACTTCCACCCTCCGATAGAAGGGCAATTTTGTTTTTTAAAAAAAGATGTTGACCGACTTTCATTTTGTAATTTCTGCTTATAAACAGAGTATTTCGTGCTCTAGAAAAAAATTTAGGATCTATGTAAATCACTCAATTTTTTTCTTTTTTGTATAGAAACAAGAAAAAAAATGTAGTGTGTTGCTTAGTTTACCAGAGTAGTCCGCAGGGATTTTGTGTTGTTGGGTATGTTGAGGCAGTTCTCTCTCATACTCCACCACTATCACCCTGTGTCCCTCTTTCACAGTATTCGGTTGCGGCGGCGGGGGTGACCAAACGCCTGCTGCTGCTAACGACGTTATCACAAAACCTAATGCCACAGCGTGCATCATCTTTTTCTTCTTTCCTTCTACTTCTTCTGGACCATACTCAAAATCAATCTCTCTCTGTCGCCCTCACTCAAAACTGAATTCTCTTGCACTTTTCTTACTCTCTCTAAGGTGCATGCCCTCAAAACTGAATTCTCTTGCACTTTTCTCCCTCTCTCTCTAAGGTTCTTGGCTCTTAAAACTGAATTCTCTTGCACTTTTCTTACTCTCTCTCTAAGGTTCTTGGCTCTCTCTCTCTAAGATGGCTGCAGAGATTGAAGTTGGTGCATGGACTGGGTTGCCCGCATAACCGCTTGGGTGTCTCCTTTGCTGCGCGCATTTGTCGGTTATTGACATGTTACTTCTTGTTTCACAGGAGCCTCCCACGTGTCTTAAAACTGCAACGTGTGAGTAAACGTGTCTTATCGAGCTTATATATTGGATTTAGAACTTAGCCATCCCTCTATCGCTTTTTATTGGTCCTGACCATTTAAATTTGGATGATGAAGTTTTTTTAGTAGTTCTTATTGTTAAATCGGGCATTTTACTTTATGTATTAAAAGAAAAAATTAAATTTTTCATTTGTTTTTGTTCAAATAATACGTGTCAAATCAATTAGTTTCTTATAAGCTCGGAGGTATCCTTGATTGATACTACCTTATCAAAATGTTTGAACATCATAAGCTCCACCCTTTTGTAACATCATAAATTTGTCTTCCGTATAAGTATACCATACTCCCTTTATATTAAAAAATATTTGTAATTTAAATTGCAAATATTTTTTACTATAATAATTACAAAGTATGATTTTAATTCATAATAAAATTTGGAAAAGGTTTAAAGAAGTGTGAGGCCCTGAACAATGCAATTAGGGCGCACCTAAAAAAATTTACTAAAAAAAACTCTTTTGATGCCTAAACATCTTCAAATTAATCATTTCAATCTCAGGATTCATCTACAACAAAAAAAAATAGATTTTAAAATTTCAAATATTGTATCTTGTAATGCATTTTTTGACAGTCAATTTTCAAGATTTTCAAGTTTTCATAGATATGCTTGATCTACACTATTTTCAAAGCTTTAAATTTTATAATTAGAGATGAAAATATATCTTAAGGCTATCACAAAGATTTCCAATATTAAAACCACATTTTTCGACAGTATTTGAAGGTGCGCTTTATTTTGTTTGTTTAGAGCTTTGGCTTTATACAAACTACTTCAATTTATTTGATTTAAAACTTGAAATTTTTAATTTTTAAACGCATGCATATAAATAAACTTATTGTAAATATAGTTTAGGTATTTTACTATTTAATCTTTTTAGTAAAATTTGTAGCGTTTAAAATAAATATTAGGGAATAAATTGAATATATAATTTATTTAAGGAAAATTGTCTCATGTGGTCTGGACCGCATGACTACATATGCGGTCCAAAAGGTGTAAAGCATCCATCTTTAAGATGGATGCAAGTAAGTGTTCCATCTAAAAGCAATGGAAACTAACGGTCCAAATGTTTTCTTATTAGAATTATTATTTCTAGTTTTTAAAATTACTTATTTTTTCATATTCATGATCTCCATGTTAGTAATTACATGTCCTTAAAAATTCAGCCAAAAACCCATCTCAAAAATAGATTTATTAATAAATCTGCATTTCTACACATACGGGCTTGGCATCATAGGAACTTGGTCCTTTATTTAAATTGGATATGTTATCTCAGTTCTTTTCAAAATAATATAAAATTAATGATATATTTTAAAATTAATAAATAACAGTGTTTTAAAATGCGGGATGCAGTCAAAAGTGGTGGAGGGCCGATGCGGCGACATGGCCCGGATGCAGGTGCATTGCGACGATGCGGTCAATAAATGTAAAAAAAATTTAAAAAATCTAAAAAAAATAGATTAATTCATAAAAACAATATATGAAGGTGACATATGTGACAGTAGGAATTTTAGTTTAATGATTAACTTCAAAATTATTAGCTGTCGGAGATTCTATATCCAGTTATCCACTATCCCCTGATAAAAACTAGAAACTTGAAACTAGCTTCATAAAACATTCAACAATCAACAACCATAAGCACAAATTTACACCATAAGCACAAAAGCACATCCATCAACAACCATAAGCACAAAATAGTGATATTACAACATGTGAAGCAATGCTCGAATCTTCACGATCGCTTAAACCCTCGATTTCTTATCACAAATTCACCCTAACATCCCCAAGTTAACAATTAGAAGCATCAAATCAACATCCAAGTATCAAACAACCGCTAAATCGAAGATTTGAATGACAAATAAATTTCCGTCAAAATTTTTTTCTCCCTCGATTTGATGCAAAAAAGGCTACAAAAGTGGTTGGAAATCATCATTTAGGGGGTTTAATAACCCCCCAAATAGTTTCCCCCATTTTTGGATGGTCAAAAAGACAATTTTGCCCATCCTCAAGGGGCAAAATCGAAAAAAATTCAACAGAAAGGGATGTAGTGTGATGCTGGATGAGGCTACGATGCAGCCGCATAGGTCAAAATTGTTGGGTTTATGTGGCCTTATGAGAGCTTGCATGAGCTTTCTATATAGTGGAACATAAGCTAAGTGGAAGTGTGGTCATTTTATAGACCATACTAGGAATGTTATTTGCTGATAGTCGGATTAGCCTCGACGAGCTAGGTCAGCAGAGGTTTGGAAAAACCCAAGATACCTGGCCATAGGGATCTACCGAGAAGGGTTTATTGGGTTATCCCTTGATGAGGTCGGAGTATGCCCAGATGAGAGCCAAGGGACTGTGTGATTCTTGCGTGTGATAAATAACCTTTAGAGATAGGGCTAAAACCTCATCATTATATCATCACACGGCATGTACATAGATAGCCGTTTGAAATTCACTAATGAGTGTGAAGCGTGTACATGTGCAAGATATTAACCTTATGCACCATAGAGTCATGGTTGCATCATGGTCTGGAGGACCACGATAGTTGTCTCTAGGGGAGAACCTGAAATCCATAAACTGGGATTGCGTCTCCTAGTTTATTGGTTGAGTTTGGTGGTCCAATCATGAGCCCCTGCAGTAGACTGTAGGTCGTGGGAACTGCTGGGTTAGTTTGAGAAAGCTAGGCGAATCGTGATTCACAGTTGAAGGTGGAGTACTCCCACGTATTGATAATTTCCTAGATCTAACAGATCCGATTCCCATCAAAACTAATTAAATTTATGTTATGTGATTTTTAGAATGTTTATTTAAATTTTTGTGAATCTTTTGATATTTTATTTTTGTCATTTGGATTTATAAATTAAGAGAAATAAATTTTTCAATGTTTTAAATAAAATACAAGATTTAAAAATTCTAAATTTGAAATAAAATATTTTCTAAAAATATATGGAACCTCCATAAAATATGGGGTCAAAATTTAAAAAGATGTGGATTAGGTGGGGCCCACACACGGCCATCAAAAGGGGGGCACGCCCCACCCATTCACGTAATATTCACTATTGGTTGATCTAATAATTAAGGATAGGATATATTAAAATATAAGTTTTCCTTATTTGATGGGAATAGATTTAGAAAATAGAGGATAAGGCTCTAGCTCATCTATTTGAATCTTGATGGTAGATCAAAGAGATGGATGACTCAAATCTCGCACCCCAAAAGTCTCCTTAACTCGACGGTTGAGATTTGATCCTACGAATTGAGGTAAAATCTATGGCATAGAAAATCTATAAAAAAAGGTAACCCCTCATAAAATGAGATACATATTCTCTTCTCTCTCTTTAAGAATTCTCTCTCCCTACCCTAAAATTTAGCTCTCTGGAAAAGGCTTTGGATTACCAAAGGGAGGCATGCCCCAATTTTTATCTCTCTCCAAGTTGCACCATGTTTTGGTGGCATGCATCATCTTTGTTCTTTATGGGTGGTAAAAGGGTGGAACCCCTTGCTAGTAGATCTCTCCTTCTCTCTTCATATTCATCAGTCATCTCTCTAAAATCAAGCTAAGAGGCTTGATCAAGATTAAGTCATTGAGTGGATTTTTGCCATAGTAGGGAAATCAACATACCGATCATAGATCCCGAACACCATCGGAAGGGGGAGATTCAGCGTGGGGTGTACTAAGCCCGATTGAGGTAATCTCAGGCAATTTTACCTCTTTAAATATTTACTTCTCTTCTTATAAAGCAATAAAGTCTAGTTTTGTTTCTGGAATAAAGAATTGACTTTAAAGATGTAGCAATTGAGAATCGATTTTATTTTGATTTTATTTATTTCAAGAGTGGTTCGATTATAATTGGACATTGTAAGTGATCTTGTCGGTCTATGGGTAAAGGATTTTTTTTTATATCTACACCGTACTTTTTCATAAAGTAGTTTCACTGGTATAAGAGCAAGGTTGATATTTGAAGCCAATACATGTTTTTTCCTTTAATTGAGTTGAGATCAAGCGTGGGAACGAGATGTATGAAAGCTATTAAACTTTGTGGTCAAGTAATACACTCCCCCGGTTATGAATTACTGAAATATTCAAAACACCAAGAAAGGCACTTTGCAGGATGAGTATTCTATGGTATTTTGGAGCAGTTATATGAAGATGATAATGATATATTTCTCTGTTGTATACTAAGTGATTTTGTGTGTCTTTGAGAGTAGGATCTACCTACAAAATTTCAGTAAGAGATCCTAAGGGAATTAAGAGTTATGAACTCATGATTGAAATGTGTCAGTTTTGACCCTACAAAATCTAGGAACTGTTCATTGAGTTCTGTGATTTTTCCCACTAATGCTATGATTTTGTTTCTTGCTGAAATTTTACTGTGACTCATAAAATTGAGTCTACTTTCAAACGAAAAAAAAAAATTTATCAAGAAATTATTTGTGGTTTGAAAGATATGATCGATGTACTAAAGGGTGTGCAAGTGTTGTTTTCTGCAACAAAAATTATTTCCATGACTTGAAAGTCAAGATTTTATTTCTTTACTTAACAAAATATTTTATAGCTCATACTAAGTTTTTAAACTTCAATTTATAGTCTAGTTTCTAATGAAATTTATTTGAGAGAGAAATATCTATGGGAAGAGAGGAATAAAAACTTTGGATTGAAGATAGGTCTTCCTGAATTTTCTGCAATTATGGTGTGCTCTTCATTGAGACTTAAAAAACTATACTTATCAAGACTACTTAACAGAGTGATATGAGGCTAATGAAAATATATGTGCAACCATTATGTGTCTACCTTAAAGAAAAT